TGTATATATATGTGTATACATATACATGTATATGTGTATGTATGTATATGTAAATTTCACATATTAAAATGTTATTAAAGTTAATTTATTACGCATATAGTTTTTACTGTGGATACAATTGTGTGTAGGATTGGTAAGATAATAAATTTATCGTAGTACGAAATTTTATAAGCTTTGGCGCAAATATTTTGACAAAACTATGATTCTATACATCTGTTTTGCCTTACTGTAACTATTTCTAAATGTTGATTCCAACCTCGTTGGTACGCATGATATAAGAAACAAATTTGTATTATAAGGTTTTGTTCCTATAATATAAAAATTATTAAAAGAAAAGTCAATTAGCTCCAAAGATTTTAAAACTCAAGATGGGAGGCAGGTGAAGCAAGACACGGATGTTGTGCAAAAACATGAAGGTGATTTTTATTTCATGATGTAATGTGTATGTGTATAAAGTGACAACGTTTAGACCTTCGATTTAGGTCTTTATCAAAATCTTTCTACAAAATAAGGAAATGTTGATACGGCAGTTTGAAACAAACACGGATGTTGAAGTGTAAGGTGAAAAATATTTATTGACGAATATATGTGGTGTGTATATATACGTTTCGACCCTTGATTCGGGTCTTTATCAATATAAATTAATAAGTAAATAGATGGATATATGTAATGAAGATGTGTGTCGCAAACACATAAGGCTGTCACATCTTAACAGGAAGACCCGAATCAAGGGTCGAAACGTATATGTACACACCACATATATTCGTCAATAAATATTTTTCACCTTACACTTCAACATCCGTGTTTGCTTCAAACTGCCGTATCAACATTTCCTTATTTTGAATGATTTTGGAGCATTTTATTATCTTTCTACAAAATCAATATAAAAACAATAGTCTCAAAGATTGTATAACAAAAAAATTTTTTTTTAAATTACGCATTATAAAATTAATATGTAAACTTACAGAAATATGCTGTTATTAAAGTCGTCGTGCAACGAGATGAGGATACATATTAACACATGAGCTGTCAATGACTGATTGAAAATTGAAAATTACATCAAATTGAACAGTGAATTCGAAAGTCGAAATAAAATAAATATAAAGTAGATCTAAATAAATATAAGTAAATCTATGGAAATTTATACTTTTATTTATTATTAGATCTACTTTTAATCTACTCAGATCTATTATATTAAATCACCTCAGATCTGTTCAGATCTGCTCAAATCTAACTAAATCTGAGTAGTTTTAATTATAGTAGATCTGAGTAGATCTAAAGTAGATTTAATAATATATAAAANTGTAAATTTAATAGATCTGCTTATATTTATTTAAATCTACTTTATATCTATTTAGATTTAATTTAGATCTAATTCAATCTATTTTTCCATTTTTTTATCTCGTTAAATTTAAGTTAGATCTAATCCATTTTTTCTCGGGTAGTAATAACTATGTATAAGAATATAGAGCGTTCGTATCATTGCTGGCGTTAAAAAGTACAATAAGTCGGTACAAATATACAAAATCATACAATTTATTTTGTCCCTTTCGATCCAAAAACATTAAATTTAGACTTATCCGAGAATATTACCTTATTCCAAAATGAATTGTTCTTAGTAATAAATTCTTTGGCAAATCTTAATCTTTTCTTTTTATTACTGTTGTTAATACAAAGCTTCTTTCTAGGAACTCTAGCGTTGTAGTCATTTTCACGTAGAACTCTTCGACATAATTCTGAATGTACATCCTTCTTAAAGTTCTCTTTAACGATTGCTGCAAGTTTTACACATGAAGTACTTGGATTTTTTTGTATTTCACGAACCAAAGCTTTTTCTTCTCTCTCTGTTAGTTTTCTCGGGCGGCCTGAACGGTGCTTGTTTTTTACACTTCCTTCATTTTTTGATCTTTTAATGATATAATGTATTGTAGATCTATTTATATTTAATAATTTTGCAATTTCTCCGTAAGATTTTCCTTGGTTACACAATTTAACAATTAATATCTTTTCGCTTTCTGAAATTTCTGACTTTTTGGGACACATTTTCGTTCTTATCACTCAGAATGACTAAACTCTGACTAATGTTGTTCCTGTGCGATCTGTAGGACGACTAGCTACGTAGTTGTTTATATTCGGCTGCCGAAATCTTTTGTTTATTTCAAAATGATATGTGTGAACAGGACCTTTCGAACCGGTTGCAGGGTGTTGTGCACAATAATTCAATTTGATTAATATCCAGACGTTTTGACTTTATTGATTTGAGTCATCTTCAGTGGACATTTTAAGCGCAAATATAATTTACAAACCAAAAACATTATGAATAATACAAAATACTATGTTGATAATAAATTTTTACAAAAATATAACTGACAAATATAGTTATATGTTATAATAGACGCCAATTGTACATATTATTCAACCGCAATGTTAGGGCAGAACAAAAAATGATGGTATAAATACCTTAAATTTTCATAACTTCACTCATGTATGACGATCATCTTGTGAAAATAGTGAGTGTCAATGTTATAAAATAGTATGTCATTGCAAGAGACCTGCCAATACTGGATCGAAGACATGAGATCGAGATTTATAAATATGAGAAAGTTTCTGAAACAATAATAACTCCATCTACCAACTATAATGATAATTTGAAACTAAATTTTAGTGAGAATAGGAAGATAAATGTTATCCAAACTCTTCGTGTCTTGCATTATATAATAATGCTGCCTTGTTGCAATTTTATGTGTAACATCTCAGAGGTTGTTCTTTTAAAATAATTAGATTCAGTATCCAAAATGGATACTGAGTTCCAATCAAATAAATGTCCTGTTTTCTGACAGTGTTCGGCTATTACAGAAGTTAGTTGTTCAAATCTTACATAATACTTATCGTCACTCCCTACGTATAATTACATAAGTGTCATATATGGGATTTTCAGTTTATTGCATAGTGACACTCAGAAAGTCATGTTCTTTGTGGTCACCAAGTATTAAAAAAAAATATTCATAAGTATGGTAAAAATTTAAAACCGAAAGATCCTTTAACTAGGGAAACTATATGAAGCTTCAAACTTTTAAACTGCTCTTCTCTAAAATTTGCGTTTTGGAGTTACGGGATTATACGTAGGGAGTGACGTTATGTTCTTTTACTCTGGTTTGTAGTTGTCTTTTAGTTTATCCTGTGTAGTTAGCATTACAAGAACAACACTTCAAATTATAAACAACATTTTTCTTTTTTATATATGGGATTATACTTTTTTGTGGTTTGATAAATTTATTAAGTTGATTTGAGCTTCTCTGTAAGATAATCTAATTCGAGACTGATTAATTTTTTTGTTATTAAGGAAATTTATGTTATAATTTTTATTTGGAGGTATGAATGGAAGTAAGAAATGAAATACAGAGTTCTCGTCACTGTCATTAATCACAGAACCCTTATTATTTTTAAGTTTGGTGGCAAAAANGTATTTTAGTCTTCTGTTTATTGTCTGAAAAATGAAGTGTAACGGGTAGTCATTATTTGTTAAAATGTTAATACAAAACTTAAGGTTTTTCTGGTGGTAAATTGGATTTGATAAGAGAATGGCTCTGTCAACTAATGTGTAAATGGTATCTATTTTATGGCAAATAGGATTTTGCGGCCAAAATCTTTTGTTTATGTTTTTCTTTCGAACAAATTTCTATCTGTTCAAATACTTTTGTGACCTTCGCAAAGTGTATGTTTAAAATAAATATTTCATAACTCTTACATATATTTTCGAATTTGTTTAAAACTTTACNTATCTAATCATGATAGTTGTATCTACTTATAGTGTAAATGGTATTTTAAAAAGTTTCATATAACACATATATCATATTAGTAAAAGTTTTCTATAGTAAGTGTTCAAATACTTTTGTGAGTCACTGTATATTATACGATGCTCCGAGGTCATCTCGCAAGTCGAATTTCTCCTCTCGTTATTAAACGGAAGTTGCGTCGCGTTTAAAGATAAAAATTATCGATCTAACCGGTTATGGCAAGATCAATCGTTTAACTTGTTCTTGTATTTCTCGCGATTATTATCTTCTCGCGCGCAAATATCAGTTTTACATGTGAAGCATTTGCAGTGATACGTAATTAATATTGCGCACTTGCTAATAGATAACGAATATACAAGACGAAATTATATCGCGATCATTCGCGCTCTTACGAAACGCGCGCGAGAAACATTTTTTTAGATCATCGTATTTTTTACTGTTTTATTATCAAATATTATAAAATTAATATATGCGTGCATACTTACACAGCAAAATATATCATAAAGATATCTGGAAGATATCTAAATATCAGAATATTTGATTGCGTAAATACTAGTCAGATATCACTGAGATATCTGATTTAGATCTCAGATATACTTTGCTGTATATATATATATATATATATATATATATATATTTTGTGTTTCTATAGGTGTGTGAAATTATAGCGAGCTGCCATTTCGATTTAATTGATTTCAAGACATAAACTTGCCAACCTGCGAAAATGAAAGGAAAGAACAAAAAAAAAAAGAAAAATAATCAAGATTTGAAACTTTTCATACATATTTGTGAGTAAAGAATAAAAACAGATTTTAGCGAGCAACATCAGAGTTTATTTATATTTAGGTATCATCTTCTTTTACATATTATCATTTGCCGCTATTTACTTTATAAATTTTATTTTTATTATTGCGTAATTGTTTGAAAGAACAAATTCTTCTGTTCGGACTTTTTCAGAATTTTTCTACATATCACAAATAGATTTCCCGTTCTCTGCAGATTGCTTCTCTAGACAACGGAAGCGTCTACATAAAAAAGACGTCTGAGAAAACTGCAGATGTGTCTGCAGAAATGTCGTTCGAACTATGCGACATTGCCTGGATCATACAACTTCACAGACGGAAATGAGTCGGCGATCAGACAGCTCGGTACTGGTACCTATGCATCAGAACTCCGTGGGCACCGAGTAGCGTAGAAAATTCGACGCGCGCAGAAATCAATGTTGTAATTGTCAAAGCATGCGCTCGAAGGTGACGGTAGAAGATCCTCGTACTCAGTACGGGAAAATATATAACGTAGTATCTATAGAGGTGCGTGATATTGTGAACAACACGCAAAAAGCGGTACACGCGTCTGTAACTGTTTTTATGTGCTCGCATGGATTCGTAGAAGAACCTTGTTATTTGAGCACCGTCGTCGATCTTTTCAAGTTTTTCATCCGTCGAGTTTTCCTTCCTCTCGCCGGCTCAACATGGATGAAAACCTGAGTCGAGGATACGTCCAGCTGGGCAAGGCCAGGGGCATGAACGAATTTAAATTCTCAAACGGAGTCACGCATCTCTCCCCGCCCGTCGACAAATGCAGTTTTGTTTATATATCTTTGATGATCAGCGGCATTGGGTTTTTACTACCTTACAACAGGTTCTCTCCCGAGGCAACAGATTATATACATTATATATTATGACTTTTGCACGTGGTGATAATTGAGTAAAAATCGCAGATCAGTTTTCCTCGTTGAAATTGTTGTAGTCTTCTTTTGCTTTTCAAACATTGAACAACTCATGAAATTTAAGGGAAAATTCTTTCAGCTACACACACTTTTGCCAATTTAATATTAATTTGTTTCCAATATAATTATATTGAAAAGCGATTATATAAAATGTCACAATATATAAATAACAGAACTTTATATATTCTGCGTGTATTTAACGTCAATTCAAAAGATTTTATGGATGATTATTCTGTAAAATTTAATGCACAATTTTTGACATTCAGCAATCAACAAACCCACGTTACATTTCAATTATTAAATTTCTTTGAAAAAAATCTCTCAAAACTTGTTTTGTAATAACAATAGTGTTATATTTTTACAGCTTTATTATAGCGGTAGATTACTTTCAAGCAAGATATCCAGGAACTACTGTGGTATTTGACATGTCAGTCGTTTACATCATTATGGCTTTCTTCGCGGTCTTTGCGAATAATATTCTGATCGAGACTTTGTCGCTGAACACACGAATTACATTTGGTAATGTGTAAAAATTATAAATAACGGATAAACTGTTTTTTTTCTTTTTTTACATTTTCTAAATTTAAGAGAAAGAGAATAATAATAATAGACACGTGCGTGTTATATAATTTAATCTTTGTAATTTAAGGATATCTGGTGTCCTTTATCACTCTAAACGTAGTGGTAATCTGCGAAATTTGGTGGCAACTTTTCAATGTTGTAACTTCCTATAACATCAATTTAATTGCCGTCGCAATAGTTTCGCTTGGCTGTACAGGTAATATATAAAAGACAGTTTTAACTAATTTTTTTTATCAAAGAAAATACCTAACAGAAATAATATGTCGCAAGGTACTTTTCTATTAAGTTAAATAAATATATTCCATTAGATTAAATAAATAAATAGAAGTTTTTTTTATTTGTTAAGTATATATTGCATAAAATTTATTGTATGGCGTTTTATACAGTTCAACAATCGAGCTTTTATGGATACACATCAATGCTTCCTAGTAAATATACTCGAGCGGTGATGACCGGAGAAAGTGAGTAATTGTTTAATGAATTTCAACACTCGTACACACACATGGAGAAAAATAATACTTATATTCGCGATTTACGCGTTTTCAGGCATCGCTGGCTTTTGGGTGTCAATTATTCGAATAATAACGAAACTCATGCTACCGGATGATCGTAGAAATACATCTATGTTCTTTAGTTTGTCGAACGCAACAATTCTCTTGTGTTTTATATTACATCAATTAATACGAAAAACCGATTTTGTGCAATTTTACATAACGCTATGCCAAGAAAGGAATCGAATCACTTTAGAACCAACGGAGGATGTCGGTCTGGTACGATAATCATATATATCAGCGTCAAATATTTTGAAAAAAAAAAATATAATTAAAATTGTGACAAACAAATTATTTATGTTACAAAAGCGCTTAGTTGTTAATTTTTTTTTTTAACATTGCATTGTTTTTCTTGTCAAATATAGATGGATCCATTAGATCAAGTCGGTGATCCTTCGAAAGGTCAGTACGGAGTGTTGAAAATTCAGACAAGTCCGTTGGGAGCAGAATCTGCGAGCGGAAGCAATGATATAAATGGTAAGAAAAAATAATTCTCTTTTACACAAATAATCTAAATTCTTTGAATCTAATAAAAGACATTCTTTCAAACCGTTACGATATTGTAATTAAAAAGTCATCATCGGATTGTTACAGCATCTGGACAGTATTCTTCTGCTTTCTCATTCAGTAATCCAGTATACGAACCTGGTGCTCCTTCGGATAATCCGTCTGGTAGCGCTGGACCAACTTACAAGGTCGAAGATGTTGTAGTTATGAGAGGAGCCTACGGAACACAAGCCAAAAGCACACCGTGGTCCGGCATAAAAAGTAAAAATATTTTTCATATATATTTTGACTTATTTGTCGTTTTATCGATCGTAATCTGAGATATAAACATATCTCATTTTTCGTTTCATTTGTAACTGAAATTTCAAACACATCTTGCAGGAGGTCTACTTGCGAGACTCGAAGTGGCTAAATTGATCTTTCCGTACATGACCAGCATTGGAGTTGCTTACTTTGTGACACTCATTCTTTATCCGGGAATCATGTCGGAAATAATATCTTGCAAACTTGGCTCGTGGATGCCGATTATTTTAATGGCCGCTTTCAATTTCTCAGATTTACTTGGCAAGGTAATCGTATTTTATATATTTATTATTCAATTTCTGTATTAATTTCTGTAGAATTACAACTATTAAAAAGTAAATCTCGTTTTTTTTTTCTTTCTTTTTTTGCAGATGTTTGCCATGGTACCTTATGAATGGAAACGTACTCAGCTGCTCTACTTCTCTACCGTGCGATTCATACTTATTCCTTTATTTATGATGTGCGCAATTCCACGTGAAGCTCCTCTTCTCTCGGGCGAGGGATACGCATTGTTGTTCTCTTGGATACTTGGCCTGACAAACGGTATACTTGGTTCTATACCAATGATTCAGGCACCTAGCAAAGTTCCAGAAGAACATCGGGAACTTGCAGGTACGTGCAGATTGTTAAAGTTTTTTAGGTAATTTTTTTCAAGAAAATCGACGAGAGAGAAAACTTTTGAAACGTTTTGTTAGGCAACATCATGACTCTGTCGTACATTACTGGTTTGACTATTGGATCTATAATGGCGTATATGATGGACGCCTGTCTTGGACCACATGTACAAATCAAGGATGTATGCTCGACAGTAGAGAAGATTCAAACTTCGACGACCGCGTTCAGTAATGTAACAGCGAGTATCCTTACAACTACGATATCCTCCACCTTGCCTTCCATCAAGAAAACGACGGCGTTGCCGAAGTTAAAAACTACTGCCAGTACGCTCACTACGATTCTCAGCTCAACATTATTGTTGAACAACACAGTGAGCTTACTGAGCGATGGAGAGTCGCTAGACGCGTCGACGACGGCCTTACCGAAGATCTTAACTAACGTAACCAATTTAATGAGCAATGCGACCTTACAACATTAGGAGATACATATTTGCGTGCTGTGTTAAATCTGGTGCATATATATATATATATATATATATACATATATATATATATATATATATATATGTATATATATACAGGGTGTCCCAGAATTGGTGTAACATCTCTCGTAGACAGGTAGAAGCGGTAAAACTGAGCCGATAAGTCCTATACCATTTTGCTAGATTCGCAATAGTTACCCAGATCTTAATTAACAAAGATCAGCGAATAAGCACGCATCGGGCTGTCTTACGCGCGCGTAAGACAGCTTAGTGCGCTTACGGTGTTTACCCGTGGCAATATATGGAGGTGGAGCTAATATAACAGCATACACTCTCTCTATAATATATACATATTAAAATGTAATCGTGCGAAGCGCGCTGAGCTGTCCTACCTACGCGCGTAAGACAGCCCGATGCACGCTTATTCGCGGATCTTTGTTAATTAAAGATCTCGATAACTATTGCGAATCTAGCAAAATGATATAGGATCTATCGACTCAGTTTTACTTCTTCTACCTGTCTACGAGAGATGTTACACCAATTCTGGGACACCCTGTATATATATATATACATATATAAGTATGAGAGAGGTGAAGAATGTATGCGTGTCAAAGAGAATGAAAATGTTGAACAATTGTTGCAAGGCTAAGATAGACAGTTTGACAATTGAACCTTTAAGTTAATTCATACTTGATAAGTGTCTTGTTAAATATTCGGCACATATAAATCTATTCACAGTGTTCCTACTATTCTTGTAAATTGTATGATGATCTACTTTAAAAAAAAAAAAAAAAAAAAAAACATTCTCTCCTTGCAAACAAAATTTAAATTTTGCACTTTATTTTAGAAATGCAATTATTTTGCAGAGATTATCATACGTAACAATTTACAGTATTTTATTTTGTGCGCAAGCTATACATCAAACACGTACTTTCATATGATTTGCTTTGAAGTTGTTTATCGAAATATCGCCAGATTGAACACACGCACAAAAAAAAATCACAACTTTGTCGAATATTGCACTTACTGATATAAGAAACTGAACGATTTGCGAGAGATACGTGGGATTTTAACCGTTCATTTTTCTATTAAAAATGACGCGCGTGCCTTTTGCGTTTTTTTTTAAATCGTTCCTTTTAAAAAACACTCTTACGAGAAATATAACACGAAGAGCGACGTTGTTGTTTTTTCGATTTCAAAAAAACGATACGTTTGTACAGGCAGTGGCGTAAATGTCTGTATGTATAGGTATAGGTATTTCCATACGTTAGCTTACGCCTTTGTTATTGTTTTTAACGTGACGTAATAATAGATTGTTGGACTATTGATAGTTGACGATCAGAAAATGTTTGCTGATGAAGTTATAGCATGAGTATATTCTGTCTCGAGTTGTTATATATATATATATCTCCATGTGTGAATATAATTAAAAACGTATATGTAAAATACGTATATTTATATGATACATTAAGCATAATAGTTATCGTATATATTTAGATAGATTGTTTGGAAGTAGTTTCGGAAGAAACGCGTTACATCTAACTGTGTTATTATAACTGGACTGATACGTAAGAAAGAGAAGTAAATAATATGTCTCGAGTAAATTAATCGAAAAAGATTATTTTAATTTCAGTTGTAAGTAGTAAAATGAGTGGGAAAAATCTCTTCTTCTATAAAAAAAAAAAAAAAAAAAAAAAAAACCGTAAAACCAATTTAAAAAATACACTTCTTCGACTTTAAAAAATATATAATACATGTGAAAAATATCGACTATCAATTAGGAATTGTTGTTAGCTGTTTTCCTTGCTACGATCATTCATGATACATATCATTTAGACAAAATATATTGATACGTCAAATGTTCATCTAGTAAATGTGAACTCTGTGTGTATGTGCGTGTGAATGTGACGTTGTGTCCACTTCTTGAAAGAGAAAAGCTTGGCTTTCTCGTATATAGAACACCAATTCTCCGTTTTCTCTGGTAGAACACCAATTCAGTTTTCTCTTTCTCTTCCTCCTTTTATCCTTTTCTTTCTCTCTAGCTTCTGCGCGTTACCTGCTCAAGACATATCTGATGTTACGTAGGAGACTGTAATCAAACTTTGTAAACTTAAGACATACAATATATACATATATATATAAGCAGTACACGCATTAAATGAAAGAAAAAAAACGCAATATTTGAATACACACATTCAACAACTATACAGATTTCAAATCTTTCGAGATTTTCTTTTTTTAATCTGTAGCTGCAGTTGAAGTATATATATGTATTTACATATACTTCAAAAGATCCAAAGCATTATTTTTTTTTTGTTCTTCATATGTGTATTTAATGAGAATTAAAAATAGAATAATGCTTTGAAGCTATTTCTAGCGCTACGTTGTAATTGTAATCTTTAACACACGTAACCAGAAGAAAAAAAATGTATTCTCATCATAAAAATCACATACTCACTCGCACTTAAAAAAAAAAACCTTATCTCTAACATCAATCTATAACAATCAATATGCATTACTATTCGTATTCAATGTATCAATCTCTTGTGTGTGTGTATGTGTAAATTTATTAAAAATAGTGTACTTATATAAAAACTGTATCTCGAGATAATCACACGTACACACACATATACGCGCTTGATGTATTCTTTTCATTGGTACAATTCAAAGGTGAAAAAAAGCGTTTTACAATCTATCCCGTCTCAGAAAGAAATAATTTAAATAATTTGTTCTTACTTACCTTTGACATTCTCTTGTTTTGCGTTGCATAGCGCAGTCGATTTGTATATAAAGTCGAATTAATATAAAAACTTAATCATCTTTTTCTTGTGAGAGAGAGAATAAATTATGATCTCTCTTATAGATAGCGGCAGAAGTACATAAAAAAATACGTATATGACGCGCAATAAGGAAATGCGTGTGTTATTTATTGTATGTTATATTTTTTCATTTAAATGCTTTTTGTTGTTGTATCTGACGTGGATATGGCATGATCTGGCGATCTGACATTGATTATATATATATAATATATACTAATTGAATTATACAGATTAACATACTTTACACAATTGACATTTTTGCGATGGATGCTTCCACGATTCGGAAATCTAATTACCGCCGAAACGCAACGATGTGTGTGATGTCAGCCGTCATGTAAATCATGCCATTTGCACATCGAATATAATTAATTAATATGTACAAAACAAAAAATATATATATATATATATATAAGTATAGAGAGAAAATAATCATGTGATAAAACATGCGCGCGTGTTGCATATATGCTAGCAGTTCTTTAAAAATTCAGTCATTTTTATAAAAACAAAAACATTTTTTTATAAAAATACTAAATTTACAAAGAACCTACAACGTATATATATATACACATAATGTATATCTTTTACAGAACTATATATATATATCCTCGCGTCTCGCCACTCATTCCACTTCTTCAAAAAAAATTAAATGTCCCCTCTCGTATATAGTCAACTATAACATAGACGACTTACAGTAATGTACATAATCAGAAGTTTCTGAAACTTCAGTTATATGAAAATGCTATCAGATCCAATAATACCGCACTTGATCCTACTCTCTATCTTAAAATGTCATGCCTCCATATAATCATGCGATTTTGCTTCCGTAAAATCGTAACGTGGGAAGGAGACGTGTTGTCTTTCTATTTACGTCTCAACAATGGAACGACAAGGATCGTTCTATCACAGATTAAGAGTTGTCTAAGAAAATGATGACAGATTATTGATGGAAAAAACAAAAACTTTCTATAACGGTCATTTAAGATATTTTGCTGCCCAGTCTGTTCGGCCGTGTGGTCCGCCGCTGGCTTTCGTATTAAAAACATTTCCAAATAAGTTCGGTTGAAAGATGGGCTTATTGGTGGACTCTATCGAAAAGAAAAAATTGATAATAAGCATAGAAACGCATTATTTCTGAAGCAATAAGTAATACTTAATTGTAAAATACTTACTTATACTTTGAGTACCGTACACGCTAGGATAAGGTAATCTCAAACTTTGCTCGGCGATATAACGATTTCGCGCGAGATAATGCTGTCTTGTTTGATTCTCAATACTATTCCTAGATCCCCAGAAAGACTCTGTAAAGCCTTCATATTTGTTGGACGTTGCCTGACCGATGAACCCGTTCAATAGCAATTTCGATCGGTTGATATCGGAATCCCCGTTTCTTTAAAATAAATAGAAAAAAACGTTAAATCAAAAGACAATAAAAAGAAGCAGAACAATAAAGACACAGAAGCGCGGTATTTATTGGGCATTTTGAATTTATACAATAGAAATTAAAAAGAGTAGTAAGAATTTAATACAGCGTAATGCAAAATAAACATTTTTATTATAACTTACGTATTTTTTTGAGATTTGAGAAACAAAATTTTATTCAGTACACATTTACTGCCATCCAGTGAACGTGACAAGCATGATATTAAAAATTAATTAAAGTCGAAATAACGATTGTCAAACTACATCATGCATGTTGTCGCCACGCAAGCAATCGTAAATTTTTTAATTTAATCTAACACACCTTCTGTTATGTCGAAATATTTCACAAGATCTTTGGCAAAATAAGTCACTTTATAAATCAACAATATATTATTGAATGTACTTTATAGAAATAAGATTTTTTTGGATAACATAGCAATTAAATATTGTATAATTCTAATCAGAATGGAAATTGATCTGTGAACAATTGCGTCATAAGACGTGTGTTGTTCTACTTGGGAATGATTTTTTTCAACTGACGTAAATTTAAACAGATTTATCAGATGTTCGGAAAATATATCCTGTCTGAGATACAGCCATACCAAAAGATGGCCGATTATCAACATCACGCACGTAATCAGGATTTTCTCGACTAGATTTCGAAACTTTCTATACCTGGATGGCAAATCTGTGCTCTGGCCTGCGACGTACCGAGCCACACTGAGATAATGCTGTTTCGCTGAGACTTTGCGCAAGTTTTTCATCTGAATAGATTGGTTCGACTGATCACACCACATCCTCGACGGCGGTTCCTGCCACGCTGGTAGAGACCAATTTACACCGCTGTGCTTCAAGTTGTCGGACTGCTGATAATTGGCGTTCCAATTGGCACGATTCTCCTTGTATATTCGATCGGGAACGAGTGTTGCACTGGAGTTTTCCGCGACGATTTTGCTTCTGATGTAGACAAATGAAACAGTAGATCAGATAATCGAAGAAAACAATGAATATATATCGGACAAAGAAAGAATTGTCTAGAAGAATCGTGCAACACACCCCAAAAGATCGGTAAAATCGTCTTCCTCCCATTTAGAAGCGTTGCTCTCATGCTTGTGATCGTTATGATTCAATAACGGCAAAGCCGGCGACTGCTGTCGGGACTCAACCATTATCTTCTCGGTTGCTCTGTAAGTAGTTAGATTTATATTTTATCTAATAAGAGATGCATAATTAAACTAGGTTTTATTTTTTTATCAGGATTTTTTTATTATCAAATTGAAAACCAATAAGATCTACTAGTTTACCTCGATTGAACGAGACTGTTGAAATCTTCCTGAGAGTAACTATACTGTTTGGGCGCAGGTGGAGGAAGATTTATTTTGTTCATGACGAGTTCTCGTTGAGATGTAACGCCAATTTTTTTATTATTAACAATACGCGGATCGCCGACTTGAAAATACGGATATCTGAAATTGACCCACAATCGCTATTCATATAAATCTCATAAATCTCAACTGTGTGTCTTGTAATCATACGTATATATAAATACTTGAGCGATTGTTGAGCCGTTGGCCTCTTTATGGGATTCCATTGTAACATGTCCTCCATAATTATGACCGCTTCTTGACTGGCGTTTGGTATCAAAACGGTCAGCGATGTGCGCGTAAAATTCGGAAATTTAAAATTCATAGCCGCAGCTAACTGATACCCTTCCGGCCAATCTTCTTTATCAGGTGTTCCAATTACGGAACATATCTTGAATATTTCGTCGATCTCGCTCTTTCCGGGAAACAGAGGTCTAAACGTGTACAACTCGGCCATTATACAACCGACCGCCCAAATGTCAATTGGACTGTTGTAAGTTGTAGAATGTAGCAATACTTCCGGTGCTCGGTACCTGTTATAGTTTGAAAATCGATTTGAGTGATGTGAATATAACATAAAAATCGCAAGAAAATATAAAGAATTATAATAATGACTAAAAATATAAATTGTTATATCATAATTGTTACATTTATTTCTTTGAACAATTTCAAAAAATATTTCATCGAATCGTTATACAATTTCTCAATTGTTAGCTAATATATTTATGAATTTACCATCTCGTTGATACATAGTCCGTGTACGGTGGCCTCGATCGAATTTCTCTCGCTAGTCCGAAATCAGCAATCTTGACTAATTCAGGCCCCATACACAATAAGTTTTCTGGCTTCATATCGCGATGAAAGAAACCGTGTTTATGCATAAAAGCAAGACCTTGTAATACTTGATACACCATGTTCCTTATTACCGGTTCGGGAAAAAGTTTGTCTCTGCGGCGTTCAAAACGTTTGAATAAACGAAAAAAATATATATGAAAATATATAAATTTCATGTGACACATCCATATGTGTAGATCACATATACATATAGACACATACCTGTCTTTCATCAGTTGATAGAGATTTTCTTTCATATATTCAAATACGAAATATAGCACGTCATTTTCTCGTATGACTTCTTTAAGTTTTACAACATTCGCGTGACTGAGCTTTTTTAACGACTGTAAGAAATGAAGAAGTATATGTCTCAATATTGATATAAGTTTTTGATTTTAGTTTTTGACAAAATATAAGTAATGAGTGTTACGTAGACTTCTCTCTTAATTTTTTACAAATAAATTCAAGCATACCTTTACTTCTCTCAGATTCATAGCTTCTTCCCAGGAATAATATTTTCTCTTCATTCTCTTTATGGCAACTTTTTCGCCCGTATCAATGCGCTCTCCGAGAACGACGGAACCAAAAGTTCCATCGCCCAGTTGGTTCAAAGTTATATATCGATTCATTTTCACATATATATATAGGCTCAGATGTGCTTGAACACTTCCGTATCACTTGTCTTTACGTAGTAAATCTCAACATGTTAGGGCGCGTAAATTACGCAGATCCGCGGTGCTAATTGCGATGATCCGCGCGACGTCACATGTTCTTCATATTTGCCATAATTACTACGCAAATTGAGAACGTGTTTCACGTTATTAACTTTTCGTTTCCAGTTTCATGTTTCCAAACTTATAACGCGTGATAAACAATTTTTTTTTAAATTAATTAATTGTTTTTAAGTAATTTACTTTTTTTTAAATGTTAATTGTTTTTTGTAAAGTACTAAATGAGAGAAGAGAAAATCTCTTTTTATGCAAGTTTGGATTACGCATCATAACACGTTAAAATAGACAAGAAGTAACAAGAAACATTCCTACTGTATAACTTTTTTTTTTTTTACCAAGTCCCGATGTTTATTTTTTTTTTACACAGGCATGAATATTCGTGCACACGTACGTATACGGTTGTAATAGAAAATAAATGTTCTTAGTAAATGTAGAGTTTCCTGTCTCTCGTATAAATAAATACTTGGCACGAGTTATCCGGAGTATTGACTCTACAGCAGATAGAATGAATATTTGATAGCTTATATTCTGTCTATATTCTGCGAGAACTCGAGACCGTTGACAAGATGGTAGAGTAACTTGTATAATATTCATGTCAATCTTAATTTGCTATCATGTATCTCTCATTCACTTTATGATATTTATAAACATATGTAGAACTGGAATATGTATTGTAAAACAGTAGTGGAGTATACTATATATATGTTTGCACACAATTTAAGATTTGTTTCTTCAATAAAAAAAAAACCTTTATGCATACGCGTTAAAATTATTTCGAACATTGCACAATAATCTCAAAACGCTTTTTGTAGGAAACAACACTTTTTGTAAGCAGCAGTTTATAAATGTGTTCAAATACAAAAATCTAGGACACTACCCGTATATACATGTCGCCTCCAGATTAGCATTTTCTTACGGTCGCACGCGAACGATCTTTGAACCAGACATGCAAGAATATAGATTTTCTGGAATAGCTTTATACTGTGGCTGCCAGTTAATGTTAAAATCATCACGGTATTTTCGTCAACTTTTGTTGCAGAAAATAAATATCAATTTTGATATTCAAGTTCAGATTTCGGAGTGTGCATCTGACCTGCGCAACTTAAGTTTTAACTGGCGGATTCATATATATAGTTTCTTTAAATTATTGAAAAATAAAATTTGGAAATAGAAATCTTTTTGACTGTCCAAATATATTTAAAAAAAAAAAACAGGTAAATAAACAACGCCACGCATTTCTATTTGATATACAATGTGTAAATAAATTTTTCAACATATGAATATGTACAATTTACAGTATATATTGAATTATGCAGTATATACAAGACAATAAATAATAAAAAACTGTTGCGATAAAAATAAAGTAATTTATACTTAGAAATTTTTCCAAAATATAATTTAAAAAAAAAGGAATAATTAGAATATAAATGTGTAAATGTCAATTATTAGGAGAGAGAGCTTTACTCAACAACTATTTTTTATCAAACACTTTCTTATCTTCGTAAAAAAAAAAAACAGAAAATGTTGGTAAAATGAGTTCGAAAAATATAAGCGTATATCCGAAATTCATTTCTATGGCAAACGCGAAACATTTAATTTCGAATTGTTAGAACACGAAAAGTCGAGTTACCCAAAAGACGCGAGACAAAGCGATAAATTTGCTTTTCTCAAAGTACGGCTCTGCTAAGTATATCTGAAAAAGGTTGACTTTACTTACAGAATGTAAAGCGCAGACAATCTCGGATTTCCACGTATTTGATTACCGTCTTGCGTAGTTGTCATTCGCGACGAACTGTTAATCGAGCGGCCATACCTCGCGGTCGCTATGACTACGGAGACCAAGTCAAACTGTCGCGCCGCGTCAGTAGGCATTTTTTATCACCGACGTCACACGAGAGAGAAGCCGGAGAACGGTCGTGAGCGCACTTATCATGTTTTCGTTCTCGAGCGCCGTGATGTCCACGTTTTGTGCACACGAACCAATCCAATGAAAATTATAGTTTCTCCAACAGTTGGTTAGTTAAGCCTGTTCTACATTGATCGCAAGCGCAAACGCAAGAAACAGGTCTGGTAGAATTGACTCAATCGTATTGATCAAATCAGCCAATTGACCAGCGTGATTGGTCAATTCTACGAGATCTATTCCTTGCGTTTGCGCTTGCGATCAATGGGTGCGTTCAGACAACTCAACAGTTGCACAACGGTTGAGAGATAATCACTTCTGATTGGATCGTACTTTTGGAATCTCAGCAGATCTTGAAGAATAGTCCTATCATAAGCGATGATCTCTCAACCGTTGAGTTGTCTGAACGCACCCAATGTAGAATGGGCCTTAAGCCCCTTGCACAATGGAAGGAATAGCGATAGCAATAGAAATAACACAGTTTTTAAAGCCCCTTACACAATGGAAGGAATAGCGATAGCGATAGAAATAACACACTTTTTAACACAAAATTCCAACTCGTCAGAAATTTTATCGCTATTGCTTATTCCGATTTTCTGATCTGCATTGATACATGTGTAGTTTTGTATGTTAGATTCCGCTGTTCCTACCTTTATTTTTAAATATAAACTCTTTAAAACTTTTGTTATTTCTATCGCTATCGCTATTCCGTCCATTGTGCAAGGGGCTTTACATACCCCCTGTTCCGTTAAGTCCGTTCTACATTGATCGCAAGCGCAAACGAAAGGAATAGATCTCGTAGAATTGATCAATCACGCTGGTCAATTGGCTGATTTGATCAATACGATTAGTCAATTCTACCAGACCTGTTCCTTGCGTTTGCGCTTGCGATCAATGTAGAACAGGCTTTACTGGCACTACTGAAAATCTATAGGTTCACGTAAAGGGTCGTCTACAATGAAGAGTTTTAGACTGTAACAGTAAGAAACTGACAAATCACAATCGATTATTCTTCTGTGCTATGTCTGTGATTTGTCAATTTCTTACTGTTACGGCCTACAACTCTCCATTGTAGACGGCTCTTTAAGAGCTCTTTGCATCGAGGCAACCAGACCAGACACTCTCCTTTGTGAAGGCGTACAGAGCAGTCAAACCGGTCAGGCGTACCGTCGCCTGAGAGTCGAGTCGAAAAGCAGCGTAAATAGTATTAAATTGTTTATTGTAAATCAAGTGTCGATAATATTGTAAAACCTGCATTCAGTTACAAATATATTTAATATTCTTATAATACGGAGTGTGAGCAGTTATTCGCAATTTCCTATAAATTAACGGAGCAATTGTGTTATAGTCGGAGCGATCACGCCGTGGTGCACGTGATCGCCATATTCGAATTCAAACTCCGCGTTCGGAGAGACGTTTATATTTGAATACGGTATTCGGGCAAGAATTTTACACAAGCCATCCTCTGCATTTAGAAAATAACAAACACCTGAATTTATTTATTTAGTTGAGTCGAACAAAATTTACACAAATTATGTTAAACCAGTAAAGGAATTGAGCGTGTGAGTTTGATTGTTATATTCCGCTAATTGTCGTTTGAAATACGTATTTGTCGTTGTCGTGCCGTGAACACTTGTTGCCCTTGGTTCGTGTCGTGAAAACAAATATAACATTGAGACATTGTGTGAATTTGCCGGTCGTGTCGTGTTGTTCACGTGTCGGGAAGGGAAACAAAGAACAAGGTGACTGTCTGCCGAACTTTATTTGTAGATTCCCTTTCAAATTATAAACCGTCGTGTCGAACATTTCGAAAAAGTCGAGAATTCAGAAAGATCTTATACAGAGGTATGAAGAAATTGGCTGTTACTCTTACTTCGGCTGTGTTCCAAATTTACTGCCAGCACGCTGCCAGTGCTAGAATTGTATAATACATGTGACTTAAACTATAGATCTTTAGCGCTGGCAGTGAATTTTGAAACACAGTCTTCGTGGTCTTAAGTAATTTTATGTGTGATGGCCTTAATGCATATAAATATTTATAGGAAAACCAAAACTAAAACTTAAGCAGAGAAACAATATAGAAAAAAGATTTTAGAGAAAAACAGATGCAAACTGAGCACTATTTTTACCATGGCCTATGTTGATATAAGCTACAGTTTAATAAGTGCAGTTTGTGAAGGAAACCTAGAAAGAGCAAAGGAGTTAATAACTTCTTTTGGACTATCTTATTCACAAACATGGTCAGAAGGATATGTTTTACTTTGTGATGCTATTGAGAATAGGCATACAGAAATCATTAAACTACTTTTAACAAATGGTTGTAAAGTTAACAGCGACATTGACAAATCTTATAATACTCCACTTCATTTTGCTGTTATAAATGGTGACATAGAAATTGTTAAGATGCTTCTAGACAGACGTGCTAACGTCTATGCTACAACTAGGTATGGCACCACTTCGCTTCACTATGCACTTGAACATAAGAAAGTGGAAATTGTGGAATTACTTTTAAATCATGGAGCTAATGTTAATGCCAGGGACAATGCAGGTATAACTTTATATTGCAGTTGAGAAAGGATATTTATAAATGTTTGAACATCATTTAAAACATGGAGTTTATGTTAATTCTACATGTATATCAATATTTACACCAGGTATTACACCACTGTATCTTGCTGTTCACCATGGATATGTAGATAATGTTAAGATGCTGTTAGACAGAGGTGCTAACATTAATACTATATCAGATAACACACACACTTATTCTCTCTTTGATGAACACTTCTATTGTACACAAATTGCTCATATTCTTAAACAGCATATAGTTAAGATGAGAACTGCAAATTTATACGTAAGTGAACACTTATCAGAGAGTTGCCTTGACACAATAAATTTACCGGAGTTACAGGATTTACAGTATGAGTGTGAAAAAGAAGTAGCAATCATGAAGAATGAGAAAATTAGTAATACTAACATATCATTTTATGATATCTTGATAAAAGATATATATATGAAAAATGAAAATGTAGTGCAGGTTTTAAGATCAGACGAGTATAAAACAAAATTTCCAATATACTCTAGCATGATAAACAATTACTTCAGAAAATATATAGAAAGGAAAGAGTTGCTCGAACAAGGCACTAAACTTTTCTATTTTTTCTGTAACTTTCCTGAGCTACCACTTGAGTGTATTGAACAAATATTTAGTTACCTAAGTGATAACGACGTAAGAATTTTAATAAATACTTATAAGTCTGTTAGTATCAGTAATCTTAATACTGATATTACTGATATATATATGATGTAGCAATTACCTGAAATACATCTAAAGTGTTATGTGTGTAAGTTAAGGAAGAATAACCTACTTTAAACATGAAATAACAGCTATGCAAACTTAAAGATTATTGCTGTATTTTAAATATAGATTACTATCTTATTTTGAAATTATTATTTTTTTTTTAAGATTTTATCTTATCCTACTTTTTTGAAAGTTGTTTTTAACGTTTACATTCTTTTGGACGTGTTTTTTTATGGTGGATCCAAGGAAAATTAGGCTGTTTTATATCTTCCCTTTTTTCAAACTTTGTGTTAGATTTTATAACATTTGTACAACGCAAAATTTATATACATTAATCCGATGATACTCTTTCATTGAACAGAGTGTAACACGTGTAATTGCTTTTAGTAATTTAAAAAATAAAATTAAATTGGAAAGCTTTGAATTAATCTTTGTTTTTATCACAGATATATGTATGTATTTTCCTTATATATAGGTTGTTTTTTAAATATATTAACGATACCATATCTAGAGAAAAAAAAGAACTACGCTGTGTACGGTGTATAAACGATGCATAATCCAACTATGTTTTAAATTAAGTTATACAATAATTTATTTTATCTGTAATATTTCATTGACATCCGAATTCAAATCAGAATACTTGAATTTATTTTCTCGAGGAGCGATATTATTATCATTTCAGAGTTCGCGGAGCAGGTTGTGGGAGTTTACCGAGCGAAGGTTTTGGACTGATAAACTTACATACATGAGTTTCCGAGATATGAACGTAGCCGTAAGAAACTTGACCAATCAGAATGTATACTATGTCGCCGTCACTTTCGAACGTAAATTTCTGATTGGTCAATTTTCTTACGTCTTAAGCAGAGAGAAACCTGGGGCGATGTCCCATTGAGCGGAAATCTATAGCGGAACGGAATGTGCGGAACCAGCTCGACCAATCATAGCCATTCCGTTTTCTTTCCTTCGCTTTTTCTATGGTTACGATTGGTCGAGCTGGTTCCGCACATTCCGTTC